CCCCCCCCCAAAAAAATGTTTATCTTCTTTTTTTTAGTTTACAAGGGTCCTTTTCCTATTCTGTGCTTTTATCTTATTATTGTATTTCTGCTATGACAACCCCATTTCGGGAATGAATAAAATAATCTACCTACCTACCCACCTACCCTTCTATCTATCTATCTATCTATCTATCTATCTATCTATCTATCTATCTATCTATCTATCTATCTATCTATCTATCTATCTATCTATCTATCTATCTATCTATCTATCTATCTATCTATCTATCTATCTCCTCTCTGCAGGACCCCCAGTCTGCGATCCCCAAAGGGACCCTGCTGGCCATCCTCATCACAGGCTTGACCTACGTGGGCGTGGCCATCTCAGCAGGTTGGTACCTGGCCGGTTGTCCTGGCCTTTCTCTCCCGTGGAGGCGTCCTCTCACCCGGGTGGCTGTGCTCTCACAGGCTCCTGCATCGTGCGGGACGCCACCGGCGACCACAACGACACGGTCAGCGACACGGTCAACTGCACGGACGCGGCGTGCACGCTGGGCTACGACTTCTCCATCTGCAAGGAGGGAGGCTGCCAGTACGGCCTGATGAACAACTTCCAGGTGGGGCTCCATCAGTCCCAGGTCCAACTGTGGGGGTTAGCACCATGGCAACACAGCCAGGAGGTCATGGGTTCGAGTCCCATGGGGTAACCAGGACCTTTCTGTGGCCTTTGGGTTCTGGAAGAAGCAGCAAAACAATTAATCTACCACTTATTTTTCATTGTTTTGCTGCCTCTTCCCCTTTTTTGGGGTTATTTTGATGCTTCTTCCACGTGTTTTTGTTTTGTTTGTTGCATCTTTCACTTACTTTTTGGTTGTTTTTCTTCTTTTTTTACTTATATTTTCATTGTTTTGCTGCTTCTTCCACTGGTTTTGCTCCTTTAGCTGCTAACCCCCTAGGCCTCCATGGCCTACCAGCAGGAGGGACTAGAGCCACATTTGGTTCCCCCCATAACTCTTTAGTTCCGTCTACAGTATTTCAACTCAGAGCTCCACCATCAGTTGGAGCTGAAGAAGCTTCTGGATCAGAGGCCAAACATCTTCTAGAAAACTTCAGCTGCCTGAAACTGGACTGTGGGGTGGATGTTGGATTGTGAGCATTCAGGATAGCTCGGGAATGTAACGTCCAGCGTCCACTGGCGTGTGTGTGTGGGGGGGGGGTGACGTGCATCTGCTCGCCCACGGCTATTGTTTCCTCTGGAGGCTGAACACGATGCCGTGTCAGGATACAGCGTGCCCCATTTCCCATGCTCCAGATGTTCAAACGCAGCCCGGATTCCCTCCCTCAGAGAGTTTCCTGCTGCCTGGAATACCCCGAAACCCACCTCCTGAGTCATCCACCCTCACAAACGACCCGGCGCCTCAAAAGGGGACTTTGAGTGATTAAACAAACTGGATTCGAACATGAATTTACACTGAAACGCTCAAACTTACTTTCATGTTCTCATGGTTCATCAGTCAGGAGCATCGTTTGACTTAAAACAGCCTCAGAAATCCCGCCTTACCTTTGCTGTCCTGCTGTCAAAAGCTAATAGAAACCAAATCAAAGCTGATTTAGGGAACAGCTCCCCCCAGAAAGCTCTGAGAGCAGTTTGCTATAAAATCAGCTTTTCCTGCTCAGTTCCAGCTGGTAACAGAGATCTGATTGAACGAGGTTGTATTGGCCTGATTCTATCTGTTTTTGGCCTCTTCTAACTATTATTTAAACTTTTTTTACCCCTGTTTGCTGGCCTTTTTAGCTCTATTGTAGCCCCTTTTTTTTCTTTTGTATCTCAAATGTTAGATCTGTTTCTGGGCTTTTCTTTACCTGTTTTTGGTCTTTTTAGTTCTATTTTGGTCTTAACCTCTGTTTTTCGTTTTTTTTTTACCTCCGTTTTTGGGCTTTTTTAAATCTCCAATTTTTAACTTTACTTTTAGCCTTTTTTGTCTCTGCTTTTGTCTTTTTTACCTCTGCTTTTTGCCTATTTCAATTTTATTTCTGGCTTTTTTTTTTCTATATATTTGACCTTTTTAATTCTATTTTCAGGGTTTTCTTGTTGGCTCAGGATTCTGTTTAGTTAAGGAAATAGTGCGAGAAATTTTAAGGGTTTCATCAGTTTAAAAACAAAATAACCGAGTGACTGACAGCTGCTGAGAAGCTCCCACATCTGTCGGATTTTCAGCGTTGTCTTCAATCTTGGACCATTTCAGACCGCAGAGTTTTGGTCCAAACGGACCCAGCAGGCCAGTCCTCACACTTTGGATCAACACGCACTGGAGTCAGATTTCTGCTCCTCTGGCTGACGATGGGACTCAGATGGCCTCTGTGTGCGTTTCTGAGTGGTGGCTGATCCCAAACAAAGAGCAGGCGGGATAATAGCTGCTGTTGTCTCCAGTCACAAGGTCCTGGCTGGTGGGCCTGAATGGGGGCATTGACGGGCGTCCACCTACCCCAGCGCGCTGACACTGATCGCGCTGACGTGCTGCGCAGCCTCGCGCGTCCTAACACACTCACTGCAGCTCTTGTCTGTTTGAAGCTCTGAACAGAGATGAGCCCTGTCCCTCTCCACGGCCACCAGTGACAATGTTTAGTTTCCGACAGAGAAAAAACCTCCAAGTCTAAATGTAAAGCCATCTCCAAGCTGCTTTGGCTTCTGGAAAAAGATGAGATCATTTACACCAAAAACACCACAGAGGAGGATTCTAATCCGATTTGATCTTAGCACCTACTCAGTGAAGAAATCCAGAAAAAATTACATGTATAATGTAATATTACTTCAAAAATGTACAGAAACTGATCACAAATGGACAAAAAACTCTAATAATTAGATAGAAAATCACCAAAGTATTGATCTAAAGATCAGAAAAGGGACAATCTGATCAAAAATCTGGCAGAAGACCAGAAATAGTGCAAAAACAGACACAACACTTTAAGAATGGGCACAAAATGACCAAAATGTGGAGCAAACTAACTAACAGAAATTGATCAGAAATGGACACAAAACCCCACTGAATAGGCATAAAATCAAAGGAGACGTCGAGCAAAAGACCAGAAAAAGGAAAAAACAGACAGAAAATGTGAAGAATAGATAAAATATTTAAAATTTCGAGCAGAAGATGAGAAATGGGCTCAAAAACAGGCAAAAGACGACACCAAACTGCAAAAACAAGCAGCCAAAAACCAGAAACTGTCCAGAATCAACAGCCTGACATCCAGATGGGAGCAGAGCAGCAGGTTTTCGCCTCTTTGGGAGTTTTAGGGTCAATTTTGGGGGAACTTTGGGGGTTCAAACCTCTCAGGAGCTCCAGGTGTGCTAACAGCTGTGTCCGTGTGGCGTTCAGGTGATGAGCCTGGTGTCGGCCTTCGGCCCGCTGATCACCGCCGGGATTTTCTCCGCCACTCTGTCCTCGGCCCTCGCCTCGCTGGTCAGCGCCCCCAAAGTCTTCCAGGTCAGAGCAGCCTTTTCCTCCCCAACGGTCCTGTAAAGGGCAAAAAGACTGGCAACATTTTTATCATCATATTTAATATATATGTATTATATTATTATGTTTAATAATGACAAGAATCATAATTGTTTTTATTTTTTTATTTGTAATTTTTACATTTTTATTTCATTATTACGATTGTTATTGTTATTATTATAATTAGATTTCGTGAGTTTAGCTTAGTTTAATTCAAAACAGTCAAATCTTTGAGCTCTTTCTTTCCTGAGAAGATACTTTTATTAAAAAATATGGATCCACACAGACACCATTAGCTCCCCTTCACTTCTCAAATCTTTAGGATTTATCATTTTTCCACTCAGGTCTGAGGAGTCATTTTCATTTAGCTGAACAAATTATATATATATATGTATGAAATTTAATTATTTTTCCACCAAAACAGTCAAATCTTTGAGCTCTTTCTTTTATTAAAACTCTGGATCCACACAGCCACCACACATGGATTTCCCCCCTCACCCCCCTGCTTCCCCCCCCAGGCTCTCTGTAAGGACAACATCTACCCCGGGCTGGCCGTGTTTGCCAAGGGCTACGGAAAGAACAACGAGCCCCTCCGCGGCTACGTCCTGACCTTCTGCATCGGCCTGGCCTTCATCCTCATCGGTGGGTCAGACTCTGGGGGGGGGGCTGTGGAGAGCCTCCACTGCCTGCCCCGAAAAGCCAGCTAACCCTCAGCTTTTGTCCTCCAGCCGAGCTGAACATCATCGCTCCCATCATCTCCAACTTCTTCCTGGCTTCCTACGCGCTCATCAACTTCTCCGTCTTCCACGCCTCCCTGGCCAACTCCCCAGGTCCCCAACACAGCTGCCA